ATACATACATACATACATACATACATACATACACGCACACACACCCACACACACACACGCTCGCGCGCGTGGCGGCGGCTGCACCGGCAACCCATATAATGCCGATCATGTTACTGACTTGGCCATTCTCCTATAAGCGCACATATCACGCGCTTATTGATTTAATGTATTTTATTGGATTATTTGCCGTAGAATAAATACAACCTGGCACGCATGTTACCCGCGGCTGCGCTCGCTGGCAATCTTGTGTGACGGGGATGCGGGCGTGGGCGCACGACGTGCAGCGCAACCATCAGTTACAGCGAGAGCGTGTTACACGTGACTGCTGTCGCATTGCTTTTACTGCCTTTACACATACTTCTCTTCCATCCTATGCGAACACAAATACAGCGCACAGAGACCGCTATTGTATGGCCTTCCTGCGAGAAGAAAAATTCACGTGAACTTTAAATTTCACACAAAAGACGCTGCTGCCTGTGCCGTGGCTGCTCATCCGCCCGCAGATCGCACCTGTAGATATAAACCGACTGCCGTCAGTGTGGTCTATTGTGACAGTACCACGTACACTCACTCCCTAGATGCTCTTTTTCATTGCCAAACCGAAAACTCATCGCCTTTATATAAAATTGAGTGCGTTATTTTACTGGTGCCTTTACGTCGAACAGACGTGTGTCTATTACAGACTTGTATTTCATTCTTCTTTACAAGAATAAATGTTCGCTTACCGTGCACAGGATGACGAGCGGCGGGGCTTGGCTCATCTCTGGGCCTCCTGGGTTGCCACGTATGTCCTTCGCAGTTGCTAATCGCTAATGGGAGGGATAAGTCACGCTTGGTAGATATTTTGCCTTTCTATCACGAATTTCGATGTTTAGAGTAATCTCTCTCCCCTATTTCTGTCCAGGCGTTGATTCGCCCCAAAATCCGCTCATAACATCGTAATGGTGAAGCTGCCGCAATCAATATGACATTAGATCGATCATGTGTACAGGGAATGTGGTTAACATTAGCCATGTACAAGCGACTTCCACGAGTTCTATTTTGGATTCATTTAACGAACGTACAACTGCTAGATTCTTGTTACGGTACCTCGTGCGCGAATGAAAGTGACGATCATTAAAATTCCTGAAAAATAATATCTGTAGTTCCGAGAGTTGAAAAGTACAGAAGGTTATCGCTGGGATCACTCATTCCTTGGGCAATACCTTCGCTGCGGGTACCTAACGCTACCGCCTCCCTACAGGTAACCAACGCTGCAGCATCCCTACAGGTAACCAACGCTGCAGCATCCCTACAGGTAACCAAAGCTGCAGCATCCCTACAGGTAACCAAAGCTGCAGCATCCCTACAGGTAACCAACGCTGCAGCATCCCTACAGGTAACCAACACTGCAGTATCCCTACATGTAACCAAAGCTGCAGCATCCCTACAGGTAACCAAAGCTGCAGCATCCCTACAGGTAACCAACGCTGCAGC